TTGTAGCTCCTATCCATAGTAAGTTTTTATGATTTTGTGTAGAAGGCTTACAGGCTTACACTCCAACAAACTAATTGGAAGAGAAGAAGAAATTGACACACAGACCACAGTTTGAGATCCTCTGATATAGAGTATTGCTGCTGATTCTTAGACTGATTCAGTCTTCCAAGAGGAGAGAATCTGGGCAACAGTACAAAGTCAACAGCGAAGCCAAGTGAGTAACCCTTTGTCCATGCCAGATCATTTTCTCCAACTCTTTCTTGTAATGTTTCATCCAGGTTGTTTACAAAAATCCTGCCTGTTGGGGCTTCTGCCACATCCCATGAGGCTTGGTTTTATAACCTTATATATTTCACCACTGGGAAGTTTTTGTATACTGAGAATACACCAAGTGTATGTGCAGCAAACCACACCACAGGTCATCAGTAGTAGCAGAAGCGGAAGCTTCAGCATCAAAACTACAAGTCTCTACCACTCTTCTTCCTTGCTTCACATTGCAATGAGCAGCAGAGCAGACGAATAAAAATCACAAACAAAACCCATAGACAATTAACACAATGCAATTCCACATTGTAACTGATGTAATGCAAGCTCAAAAAAATCCCAACAGCAAGCAAAGCCTCTCAGAGCCAGTCTGTGCTGAGCATGACAGAAGTGCTGATCAGCTGCTGGTTTGCCCACTGTTGATCTCACTTTTGGACCTTCCTGATCTACTATACAGTGCAGCAACTAGACACTATTGCAGCTCTCTGGTAGAGAATGGATCAAACGAATAATGGGGTTGATGAGCCAAGCACTAGGGTTTTTGTATGAGATGATGTCTGTTTTATGAAAGTCAAACTTATTTTGTAATTTGAAATCTCCCACCTGTACCTGTGACAGAGGCTTATGGAGTGATTTGACTCAGTCTGGGTCCCATATCTCATTACTATCTCCTGCATTCCCCTTTACACTAGTCCATTATTTTGTCTGTGAGAGATATCAAGCTGGAATAACTCAATTGATTTTTAACAGATAAACACCTGGAAATTCTGTTTGAGGTCGCTGACAGGTGTTAAAAAAGAAGGCACGATGGGATATAATGCACAATCTCAAAAATCATGCTTCCTACCACATCACAGCTGACGAAGCTCCCAGCTGCAAGAGCGCCTGGTGCTGCTCTGCAGCTGGAAGCTCCAAGCACTGATGGGGCTGCAGGGGGTACCATGTACTGTCCCAGCTGGGAGTCCCGATCAGCTGATCAGTGTTCCCAGCCTCTGGAGCACGGAGCACAGGGGAGTGCGCTCTGGGACTGGGAGCATTGGCCACATGGTTCAGTTAAGACGTAAGAACCAACAGTTATTACACGTATTTTGTGGAATAACTTTGTCACTTATTCCTAGTTTTATCATGGCATTAATTTAATGAATGTGTGGCCAGATCACTACTTAAGACATGATTAACCACTACTTAAGATATGATTAACCAGTTAATGACATCTGAAGTGTAACATGCGTCAGGGACCTTATGTAGCACTCTGTTACAGATCCCTATGTTTCTGTTCAGATTTTAATTTTTCCTGGCAAGTTCTCAAGTGTTGTTATTCTAGAAAGGAAAACTGCTGTTCTTGCTAAGGTCACAGGAAAGCCAGCTCTAAGATGCAGTAGTTTAAGAGGATCTGGTGACATTTAAAGGGCAGCAAAGGCTAGAGATCCTTGCAAATTACCTATGTTTTTACAGCTGAATCTTTTTGCATTTCTAGCAGTTTATAGCATCAATGCAGTCATATTACTTAAAGTGAATTTCATCAAATATATCTATTTTTCATTCATTATGAAGTAATCCAACAATGGAAAAAGCTCCAACAGATAAAAAATAGACAGAACAATACATAGATTTGCAAACTACAGTGTACAAATACATACATTTTTACAAGAATTTTATTTTTCCTTGACTAGTGGTTCAGATGGTGGCTCACCCTTCATTGTTCTTTCCATAAACTTTTTAGCTGCTATGAGCATTTTGTGTAGGGCAGGATTCAAATCTGACAGAGAGAGGGAGCGAGAGAACGTGAGCATGAAAACATATTTACTGTTACAAATTGTCACTTCACTGTTTTATAGTATGAAGAAAGAAGTATGGGCATCACCTGTGGCATTAGCACACTAAATACTATCAGAATCTTCTAGGATGAATTGATTAGGCTAAGAGAGCGTGCCACATAAGTTATGTGATCAACAAATGCATTCAGTTATGTTTAGGGCAATATTCACTAAATTATGACCATCATTGCAATAGTACTGGGCAAGCCATTTTTGAAAACTCATGGTGATCAGGAGAGGTCCTGGATGACTGGAAAAGGGCAAACATAATGCCCAGATTTAAGAAAGGGATAAGGAGGATCCGGGGAACTACAGACCAGTCAGCCTCACCTCAATCCCTGGAAAAATCATGGAGCAGATCCTCAAGGAATCCATTTCTAAGCACTTGGAGGAGAAAAAGGTGATTAGAATTCATCAGCATGGATTCACCAGGGGCAAGTCATGCCTGACCAAACTGATGGCCTTCTGTGATGAGGTAACTGTGGATGCAGGGAGACCAGTGGATGTGATATATTTTGACTTTTGCAAGGCTTCTGATACGGTCTCTCACAGCATTCTTGCAGGCAAGCTAAGGAAGTATGGTCTGGATGAATGGACTGTAAGGTGGATAGAAAACTGGCTGGAGTATCAGGCTTGGAGAGTAGTAATCAATGTCTCCATGTCTAGCTGGCAGTCAGAATCAAGTGGAGTGCCTCAGGGGTCAGTCCTGGGGCTGGTTTTGTTCAATGTTTTCATCAATTACCTGGATGATGGCATAGAGGGCACCCTCAGCAAGTTTGCAGATGACACCAAACTGGAGGTAGCAGTAGATATGCTGGAGGGTAGGGCTAGGATTCACAGCATTGACGACATGTAGAGGGCGCACACGCACCCCCTGAGCTTGATGGTGCACCTCCTGCAAAAAGGTGCCGTTGACACTGCTGGCAGCGCCTGCAGGTGGTCACCGCTTGCCACCCTCTCCCCTCTCACTGCCGACACTGCTGGTGGCATTTGTGGGTGGTTGCCAACCACTGGTTGGTGCTTGCCACCCCCCACCTCCCGCCACTGACAGCGCCGCAGCTACCTGCGGGAGTTCATCACTTGCCATTGCCACACTCCTGCCGCTGACAGCACTGCCACCACCTGCGAGAGCTCACTGTGCCCCCCCCAGCCTCTGGAGGCATGTGGCGTTCATGATTCAGAGTGACCTAGACAAATTGTAGGATGGGGCCAGAAGAAATCTCATGAGGTTCAACAAAGACAAGTGCAAAGTCCTGCACGTAGGACAGAACAATCCCATGCACTGGCATAGGCTGAAGACTAACTGGCTGGGCAGCACCTCTACGGAAAAGGACCTGGGGGTTACAGTGGACAATAAGTTGAATATGAGCCAGCAGTGTGCCCTTGTTGCTAAGAAGGTTAAAGGCATACTGGACTGTGTCAGTAGATGTACTGCCATTAGGCCAAGGGGTGATTATTCCCCTCTATTCAGCACTATTGAGGCCACATCTGGAGGATTGTGTCCAGTTTTAGGCCCCCCATTACTGAAAGGATGGACAAATTGGAGAGAGTCCAGCAGCAACAAAAATGGTGTGGGGGCTGGGGGACATGACTTCTGAGGGAAAACTAAGGGAACTGGGTTTATTTACTGTAGAGAAGAGGAGACCGAGACAGGACTTAATAGTAGGTTTCGACTACCTGAAGCGGGGTTTGAAAGCAGGTGGAGCTAGACTGTTCTCAGTGGTGGCAGATGACAGAACAAGGAGCAAGGGTCTCAAGTTGCAGCAAGGGAAGTTAAGGTTAGGTATTAGGAAGAATGTTCTCACCAGGAGGGTAGTAAAACACTGGAACAGGTTACCCAGAGAGGTGGTAGAAGCTCCAACCATGGGGGTTTTCAAAACCTGACTAGACAAAGCCTTGGCTGGGATGATCTAGTTGGGGATGGCCCTGCTTTGAGCAGGGGGTTGGACTAGATGACCTCCTGAGGTCCCTTCCAACTCTCACTTTCTATGATTCTAAACCTTTGAAAGGGACAGTTTCAGTTCAGTTAAGCTTGTCCTGCATCCCTTATAATTTCATCCTTATTTGAATTTTATTCAAACTATCCAAACATCCTGAGTTTTCATAATTGTGTTCGAAAACATATTAGAACAAACATGGGCTCCAAACTTTCAACACTTCCTATATCTATTCGGAAATGTTACTAATCACCATTTCAAGAGAAGTACGTTCTAACAGTTTGAGCAAGTGACCAGGGAGTTGTGAATCCTCATTTAGGTCCCTGTGCTACTTACCTGTTCCCTCAGTACCATACCTATGGTGGGGCAAGCAGGGCAGCAGTCCTGGCTGCTGACATCAGGGTGGGAAGGAAGGGGAAAGGGGAGGCAAAAAAAAAAAAAAAAAAGGTGCTGCCACCCACCTGCCATTATGCCTCTATGTTGCCTCAAGTAAATCACTGAATCTCCCTGCTTTTAGAGTAGGGTGCTGCCAGAACCACCCCAGGTGCCCAGCTGCCATTATGCCTCTATGTTGCCTCAAGTAAATCACTGAATCTCCCTGCTTTTAGAGCTGGTCACAACTTTTGCTAAAAAAATGCCTCTTACAAAATGCTAGTTTTTACAGTTTGGAGTGGCAAATTTCGGTTTTGCAAATCTTGGGAAACAGGCTTTTCAAAAAAGTCCAAACTTCCTATTTTGTCCGTTTTCTGAATGAAAACTTCTTGTTCTGAAACAGTGGCTATGAAATTCTACAGATTTAAAAAACAAACAAACAGGTGAAATAGAAACAAAACCTTTCAAAACAACCTGGAACACATTTTTTTGAAAAAAATGTGAAATGTTGGCTTTCCATCCTGATTAGGGATAAAAATGTAGGTCTCGATTTTTCATGGGAGGGGAAAAAAAATTGTCTATCGCTGACCAGTTCTGTCTGGCTCAGCTCCTTTTCTGCAAAACAGAGATGAAACTTTTCTACCTGTTTTACAGACATGTTATGAAGACTAATCGATGCCCCCTTGATTCTGCAGTTATAAGGACTATTAACAAAATAGTGTTAACAAGATTGCTTTAAAGATAAACACCTACCTCTGTGTAAAGTTTTATTGCAAATTTCTATTGTCTGGCACCGGCTCTGCATGGAACATAGGAAAGGAAGGATGGGGAAGGCATTGTTATGAAGGTTTTCCAGACTTCACAAGGCTGTGTTTAGCTTCAGAGAAAAGGATCAGGATTTTTCTTATTTTGAAAAATAATTTCATTCATTCTGAAGGGGAATGAAATGACCGACTGCAGGGCTCATTTCGCACTGTGCTGCAAAGGAAAGCAACATATCATATGGGTACCCACGTTTACAAAGAGAAATGGGGGAAAAAATCCTTACAGTTCTAAGGTAAAACCACAGAGGGCTGAACTAGCTGGGTAACATTGAAAATAGCCATCCTCTTGGCAATTTATTCAGATTTCTTTACCCTTTCACTTTGATATTCTGCAGGGGGAATTCAGCTTTGTTCTTCACTCCACAGGAAAAAAGAAAGAAAGAAAAACAGAGGATCAGATTCAACTCTGTCATAATCTGGCCTAGCTCCATCCATTTTCCTGGAGAACATGATCTAGAGAACAAAGGAAAAAAGAAAAAATTCCAGAATTGAGTTCCTACTGCAGAAAAAAGGTGATATTCAAACAGAATAGGAATAAGGCTCCATTCATTTTTGTTTTTCTTACCATTTGACACTATATCTGCTTAGTTTCTGCTCTTCTCAGCTTCAGACTGAGCCTTGAAAAAAAGAAACGTAATATGTAAGCATTTCAGTTTACCTCACATTTATCTAAAAACACAAACAGATACCGTTTAAAAAAATCAGGCTTGCTGCTTACTACCAGATTCCTAGTTCTACTAAAAGTGGTTTGTGCCAATAAAGCACCTTGGATTCCTTATTCCCAACTGAGATATCGATTTAAAAGCAAGCCTCCTACTAGTACTTGCAGAAGATCATGGTAGCTTCACTGCCATGACTGAAAACCAAATTCCCACCTATATACAGTCCTCCTCATATTTTTAGTGATACAGCTGGATGCAAACTTTTCAAGCTCCTGTTTCTTAATATAACCTTGTTGCTATTCAAACTATCAAATTATTATATATTGCACAATGTTCATTCTAATTTAATGTACATGAACAATTATTTCCTCCCATTTTTACTATCCCATCTTCCCCATTATTTCCCATCCACAGTAACACTATTTAAAATGGCAACTCAGTTTGCATCACAATTACCAGCTTTCACTTCCTTACTAATTTTTTTTTTTTAAATCCCCTGCAAGCTACAGCTGCATCTTCCTTAGACTTTGCCCAAAGGTTGAAATTTCCCCAAACTCGCAATAAAACACAAACCTGTTCCTCTCTTACTAAACTCTAAAACAAAACTATGTTCTTTCTGCTTAGAAAGCCTTTATACCTGTATATAAAACTGAAGGAAAAAGTTGAACTTCAAAATTTCAGAGACCATTCAAAATTATCAGAAAACTATTTCCATAAACTCTGATACATGTTTTATGCAGAGGAAAATGCATCTCTCTTAATTGTATAGTTTTATAATCAAGTTGTTCTGCATTGTATGCAACTCCAGGGAAGAGAACTGTTAGCTTCCATTCCTAGCAATGTTTAGACATTGATGTAGTACGGCAAAGCTTTGCAATTTTGAAAGTCTGTCTGCTCTCAAGGAAAGATCTTTCAGTGTAAAAATCACTGACAGGATTGGTGGAAAAGTAAGGCTCCAGATTTGTGCTGCACATAACTTCTCATTACCAGTACTTACACACTGAAAAACCCTTAATTAAAATACATGTTTATGCACTGTTTAGATGCAGAGTTAGAAAAAATCCCTTATATACCAATGCGTGTGCCTTAACAAAATTAATTGGTCATATTGAATAGATATTAAGGGTTATCAAATATCTATTTAAAATTATAAATATATATTAAACTATGTATTTAAGAAGGAGAGGTACTTTGAAAGGTTTAACTTTGCTATTGACATGCTAATGTTTGCATTTTTGATGAGGTGATTTAAGCTGTGTAGGGCCAGTATACAATTTACTTTTATAAGCATATAGAGCAACGATCTTTTAAAACTCCACCCTCACATAACCTAAGCGATCACCTAATGCCCAGCAGTCTCTGGAGTGTAGTGAGTGTTGTCTCATTGTCCTTCCAAGGGCTCACATCACTTCAAGAGCAGTGTGAGGAAAGAGAAGGACAGAGATGGGGCTCTGACTATGCAACCCTGCCTTACAGATACATTTATTTCATAATAGCCCAAGGAATAGACCCAGTAAAGCATAGGATTATTGTGCTGTCCTGCTCAAGAAAGTTATCCAGTATCTCCATTTTCCTTTCTGGGAGGAAGTGATGTTTCTAATCCTAACTGATGCCACATGTCAATTTAGGCTCTCAATAAGGCTCCCCCCACCCCCTCATAGGCTTAACTCACGCAAGGGAGAGAAAACAGAGGTTAAATGGGAAGTTTCCTACTCATTCTTCTGCTGCAGGATATACATCCCACAGAAAAAGCAAAGGAGATTTCTCTTCCCCTGTGCCCATGAACCTCAGATGAAACCACAGTTAATAATTCAACAACACTTTCCTGCCAGGAATGGGTGATGAGCATTTCATTATTCTGTTTTGTTTTTTTAAATAATGGAATGCAATGCCTGAGATAATTGTATCTGTCCTGGTAAACAGCTCTAAATTCACTGGAGCTGGGAGCCAGTACAAAAACTGTGCATCACTTAAATGTCACTTGTCCTGACAAAACAAGGCTCTAAACAGTACATGTTCTTCTGCACCAGAATGGGTTGTACACAAACAGAACAAATGTACCAGATGCACCTGGGGAGCTTCCCCATGCCACTTGACCCAACTCAAAGGTCAAGAGAGACCACTTCTAGAAGGAAGAGATGGTCAGTCTCAGTGTTCAAGTTGCCATACTAGTACCATCTGTAGCAGCAACAGTTTTCAGGACATGGATAGTAGGCCTGTGCGAAGCAACAAGTATTTGATTCAAATTTGGATTCGGCCAATTCGGAGGGGCAGTGATTTGATTTGGTGATTTGAATCACCATCCCGATTCAATTTGGCCAATTCAGATCTGAAGATTCAGCATCGATTCAGAGATTTGGCCATAGTCTAAACAGGCAACTGTCCGCGAGGACGTTGGACACAGCTGTCTCCAGCTGGTAAGTCTGTTGTGGTGGGCAGAGGTGGGGAGGGAAAGGGCCCCGGGGGGGGGG